GTAATTGTTTCTCCTGCTGTAACTACTATCAGCCTTAAGCAGACATGAAAAAATGTGAACACATCCTTTAAAGGACGCTTCTCTCTTCTTATAAAATAACCTGTTTTGTGCAACCACAAAACACATTTGTGTGAAGCTGTTTGCATTTGAACAAAAAAATGACTGGATGTTAGTAGACTGGATGTTAGTAGAAAATCCTCTATGGACCAGGGCAGCAAGATAAAATTATTCCATCTCTTTACAGTCCAGCTTCTCTTGCAGCCTCGGACAAAAGTAAATTTGCATTGAAAATGAGCAAACATGATCAATAATCAATCAAAACAAAATCTCACCCCGATGGCTCGTTTATGAAAGTACACCCTTTTTATTTTAAGTGCTTTGCATGTTTGTAAAAAGAAGCCTTATTAAAACATAATTGTGAAATTGTCAAGTTTGCATGCAAATATACCTGGGCCTATACTCAGTACGATCCAGATGCAGTCAGCTAGGCAGCAATGTAGAAGATGCAGAATGCCATAAAGGAATAGAATCTAAGACCCTGTTCTATAAACCTACATCACTTTGACATACTTACTAAAGAATTAACATCCTCAAGATGTATGTCTGCCTGAAAGGTGGCACCGTGACGGGGCGAGATTTCTTCACTGTCTCAGAGACCAAGAACATGTTACCAGCTTTAGAAACTCTATTGCTTAAGAAATCTACCCAACCCTGGCGTGACACATTTGGTTTCTAGACCAGGACACAGCACACTCAGCACACACACACACACACACACACACATACCAGACAGACTGCAGACTCCTCTGGAGACATACAGGCATAAATCAAGGCTGCAGAGGAGAGAATTTTGCCTCCCACATTTATTCCCCATCGACATAACGTGGACAATCCTGTGGAGGGGTGATATATGTCTCTTTACAAAGCAAATGTTTATGGACAGATCATGCTTTATCATGTGTGGAATTATATCTTATCTATGTCTGTCAAATGTGTCGTATCTAATCATAACAGTTTTATATTAAACCTGTTTATTGTCTAATCTGTAATGTTTTAATGTCAAGTAATTCTCTATAAGCTATCTTGCCTGTTCTAGATTTTAATAACAAAAGTCCCTCTATGGATTCTGACTCAGCAAACTGGAGGGTCTCCACTTGCTATGAGTGTGATCTAAAAGGCCAGAAAAATCCCCTCTTACCATAAAAGCCTGCTGGATGACATGTAAGAGTATGTATATGCACACACTGCAGCATAAAACACAAACAAGAGACAGCGAGTCCTCAAATCCTTCATCTCAACTGTCAACATATTATTGAGTCACTGAGGCATAAGAGCAACAGTCATTCAACAAGCTGCAGCGACAAACCCAGCTAGTGCAAAAACTAGACGCGCTTGTGTTATTAGAAATGTTATGATATAATAGATAACATCAACAGGTTCACAGTAATATCATCTTGAGAAGCATTATGGATCTCCTTCCTACTGTTGAAATGACTCAAGAAAACAATTTACCATACGCTCCATACCATTTCATAGAGTCAATAGGAACAAAATTGAACAGGCAGTTGGAAACAGTTAATTACTCTCATGCGTCTGCACTGCACACAGACATATCCATTTATACAAGACAGGACAGCACTAAACTACAATTTAATGTTTGGCAGCCCCAGTAAGACATCAGAGTAAGCAGCAGCTGGCACCGCGTACAGAGAAAGTTAGAGCGAAAGATGACGGGGGATATACGGAGTCTGTCAGAAGCAATGTCAGGTCACTGCTCTCCTCATCTGCTCTCTGGCGAGCTCCATTCATCTTGGCAGATAGCAATTTATATGTCAAGTTAACCTCCCTCCGCAGACTTGGCTCAGATGTCTTGACTGGGGCAGTACAACTCCACTGACAATACTACAGTGCAGTAACACAATTACAGGGCGCGGGATAGAGCTGGGGAACAGCTCTCACAGCCGCAGTACATTAACCTCCTTTCACCACAATGGCTGACTTCATGCTCATACAGCATCTGGGCAATGCCAAGGCAGACGTAGGACAAGACAAAAGCTCGTTAACAGAAACAGGTCAAGGGACTCCAGTTAAAAAATCTTCAAGAAGCTGTTCTGTGAGAAAGGGTACTGGTCGTTTTGCATGATTTATAGGTAATGTCTCATTGTTGGTATTACAAGACAGTATAAGTTGAAATTTCATTTCATAGGAGAGAGAATGGATGACATAAAGGCCCAAGCTGGATTTGAACCCTTGTGGCAAGGACTCAGCCATGATTCGTGGTACACACTGTCGCAGAGGACCTTATGGGACTTTCAACAGCAGTTTCCCCCTCTTCTGCTTTGATTCTCTCAATTTATTAAACTGTGGGAGATCCTATCAGTTTGCTTAAGCTGCAGGTGAGCACGATGGCAGGCATGGCTGTTAGATGAAAGAAACAGATGGCTGGCCAGGGGCCCAGAAGCACCAGGCAATAGAGGAAGACTAACATGTTCCCATTGTAAGTTTGTCAGCTCGCTCTGCCTGACTGCAGGAAGAGAATCAAATAGCCTCATCTTTTCATATTCCCCCTTCTCCAGTTCATCTCACAAATGCAATCAGACCAACTAATCCAAAAAAAAAAAAAACTCTTAAACTTTACTCAAGCAATTCAGGGAGAACAAAAAGAAAAATTGGCTCCTACACATCAGTCTTAATCTACTGCATGCATCTTAAATATTAATGCTTACCACTGTTTGCTGGAACGCTTCAGTGTGTGTGCTGTAAAGGTTTTCCATGCCAATAATCATGTAGCTACACTACATGGTCAAAAGTATGTCTGAACATTACATGCTTGTGCGATTGCTGACCGTCTCATTCCAAAACCATGAGTATTAAAGTGGCACTGCACCGAACTTACACATAAAGGTTGGTTTATACATATTACAGTGTTTTCAGCCAGTTGGACAGTTATATAATGTATTCTATCTTTTATTAGGTCTGTTGACTTGGGCTTGGAGACTGCAAATGTATAACAAAAAAACAAGCGGTAGTGGTAGCAGTAATATCACAATAGGCTTTTATGACATCAGGCCAATATTTACCAATTACATCTCAGTTCAATTCAAATGTCTCACTAAACCATGACAGTTTGACAGCACACAATACTTGGACCCTAAAACTGAAAGTTATCTTTGATGAAATTCAGTCGACCAGAAATGTTATTATTTACACCTGTGCTTTTCCTACTGTGACATGTCAACGTGCGCACATTATGGCTGCACCAGCTGCTAACAAGTCACAAAGTTAACAGAGTTCACCAATAAATAACCAATATACACAGACAGAAACTAAACCATCACACGTCAGGGATGAGGGTCATCATTCATGGTCCGTCACGGTCTCATGAGCCGTGCTCCTTGTGCCTGTTTTGTGTACTGGAAGGCTGATTTTAATAAGGCCCTAACTCCTTGGATTGGCAATAAAAAACTACAAATTACAACCTGTGTGTCAGTCAGAATGGGAATATCACCAATATCAAATTTTAATGAAACGTAAACTGTAATGTGATGTAATTAATGTTTTTTTAAAGATTATTTTTTGGGCTTTTGCCTTTATTTGATAGGAACAGATGAAGAGAGATAGGAACTGTGTGTGTGAGAGAGAGAGAGATAGAGAGAGATAGAGACAGAGGGGATGACATGCAGCAAAGGGCTGTGGACTCGCCCGCTCCCAGATGTAATTACTGTTTTATCCTCGAAATAAAAATTATATCACAAAAGCAGACATTAATAACATAACAATCATGTGGATTAGAATGTTTTGTGATGTAGGTCATTGCGTTCTCAAATGTTGCCTGCTTAATGGCAAAGAGGGTCTGTCACTGTCCTTGGGAAACAAAATTATTCGGTGAATCTCAGCTAGATGACCCTTTCCACTCACAGTGCAGCTGTGAATTCTTATTCTCCTAAATGAATACAGTATGGACAAAAACAGCAGTGAATAAATATCATTGTTACAGCTCTAACTTTTAATTTATTCTAACCTTTTTCAGATTGTTTTTCTAGAAATAAACCATGTCCTAAGATAGCACCTATTATCAGAGCTAAATGTGATAACTTGGATGAAGAACATGACCCTAAACCTAAAGTTTGAAAGCTTCTTGCGCAATTTTCCTCTTGTGAATATGATAAAAGCCTAAACGCAGATGGCTCCAGACAGGTTGCCAGTACCCAGAGGGCTGTGCTGTCAGGTGGGCAGGTGATGACCTCTGGAGTTGAGGTACTTAGATCCTATGTATGGAAGAGAAACAACAAGAAAGACAGCAAGTAGCCTAGAAAATGAAGGGCTGCCAAGGCCATAGTTATAGCAACAGCACTGAGATCTAGTAGGAATTCAGTGTCTTGCTCAAGTACAAGTCAGAAGGGACGTGAACCCGCATCCTCTGGTTCAGTGACTAACTCCTCAGCTTCCCAGCCTACCAGACGGGAAGCTGTTTGTAGAGGTAAAGCCATAACAGAGATATCTGATGAACATGTCACACGTTTGTGTTTATCTGGATACTCACACATGGTAACTCAGTTTCCCGCTGTAGTAATTACCTGCAACTGTAGTGATATTATTAACCGGATAATGGCGGTGTATAGGCTACTGATCAAATGCTAAGCTATAATTCAGTTCAATTCAAATTAGCTTTATTGGCATGAATGTGTAACAACAATATTGCCAAAGCATCATATATACTACATAAGAACAATCAACCCCATACATCTCATTAAACAAGTAATTAAAGCGTAAAGTAATCAAAGCATATGTGTGTTTGTGTTAAAAAAATAAATTAAAAAAATAAAAAAACAGAATAGGTCACTATATACATCAGAGCTAACTATGCTGGGGTGTGTTTAAATTGTGTTAATTTTCATTAATCATTTGTTGCATGTAATTAGAAAATATTCCAGTAGGTGGAGGCATTGCATAATTTTTTCATCCAAATACGCCGTAAACATCCAACCGAAGAAGTTCGCGACGTCTGCTGTCGTAAACAACGTCAAGATGTCTGAATCACCAGCTTATGGCTTAGCCTGAAAGATAAAGGCTTAGTTTTGTTTTTGGTTTACTTTTGCTTTCGTTTCGTTTGGTGACTTGGACGTTGTATTAGATGGGGACCAAAAGCTTATCATGAAACTCCGGGTGCAGAATGACAGGTGAGCGGACGCGTTTACGACCAGCAAACCCGGCCTGATAGATCACATCTGTTAGCTGCTAAATGCTAACGCGGCAGCCCAAACGGGCAGCTTCCCTGTTACCTGTCTGTCACCACTCTGGGTTTAAAGCATGGATAACGTTACATTATAAGTGCCTGAAGTAACGTACGTACATTTCAACTAAAGTAAATTAGCTTTGAAGAACAGGATGGATCGAGGTAACACCGGCTGAACTGACTGCTAGTCAGTTTAAGTTAGCCTACACAACTTAAGCTAACCTGATCATTAATTAATTAATAATTAGTCGATAGTTAGGGAGTGAACCTGTACCACAAAATACTGTCATCTTGATATGTCAATGTGGGAGCCTTTTAAGTGTTCAGCAAATGAATACGTTCATCAATTCAATGTTAAATAACCAAATGACACATCCATATGATCACAATGTTACTTGATTGTCAATCAAATTGTTTGATGCACTCTATTCAAATATAAATGCAAAGTCTTCAATAAAACAGTTCTATGCAGTTTCTGACACACTGCAATCTCCATCAGTTGACTACATATAAACTTGTTAAAACAGGCGTAATACAGTTGATGCTGAGCACATTGTGACTGAGGCTGCAAACATTTGTCTTGCATGTCAAAGGAGTGATTCCAGAAGAGCACTGAAACTGAGGGAGTCTCCTACTGTAATGCAGCCTAATTCGAGTGAGCAGGGTGCTCATGCAGGAAATGGTTTATCCCTAACTCTGCAACCAGAGCTTCTCACCAGGACACCAGCCCCAGGTGGTGCTGCTGCTGCTGCTGCTGCCACCACCGCCAACCCTGACAGCAATGAGGTGCGAGTACCTATGAACGGCGGGAATGGGGAGTCCAGTGGAGGCGCATCATCCAGGAGGTGCAGAGTCAACTCCCACAGCCACTCCCATTCTCAGTCGCACGGACATAATCGGGTACAGCACCACTTGAATTCGGAGCCTGAGCTTGACCCACCTGACTCTGATACGGACTCTGGAGAGCCCAGCACCTCCTTGTCAGAGCTTCGCTGTCTTTTCCGTTGGCTCCAAAAGAGCCTTCCTTTCCTCATCATACTGTGTGCTAAGCTGGTCATCCAACATGCACTCGGTGAGTAAGGGTTAAGCAAACACCATTTATTACAACTGTGACCACAAGACAACTCATCACAGTCATTCCTCTTCGTTCGCCAGGTCTAGCAGTTGGGGTTGGCCTCTTCACGACGTTTCTGTATGTGAATAAAAACATCCAAACTCAAGTCTTTCTTCAGGCAAGTCGACACAGAAATACACATTGTTTGATTCCATGTGCGTTTCTTTGCTGTGAGATTTCTAAACCACCTGTGTGCACCCTCAGGATCGTCAGTCAAAGCTGCAGTGTGTATGGCTGCTAGTGTTCCTGATCTCTTCTGTTCTCCTGCTTTACTACACCTTCCTCACCGATACCCTTTACAATTGGTAAGAATAAATGTATAATCTCACATTAGATACCCAAAACAATAAGACGGGGTGACTGTAGACTGTTCTTGGAATCTAATCCCAGTTTGTCTGTGGCCCAGGTAAGCAACTAGAATACACTGTGGTCATTTCTTTATTCTCTGGGGGACTTGAATCCCGCTCTTTCATCCAGCAGAACTCATGACTTAAACATCAGAAAGCATAATGTACTGGTACAAACACCACTGTGAAATCTATATTTGTCATATTGGCCAGCGTATGTTTATAGTCTCCACCTGTACTGCAGTCAAGTACACAGCTGTACCTGGAATCCACTGGACAGTGCTGAGATGTACATGCCATTTAACCTGAATGTCAGTATCTCCTTCCAGCCTAATCTTCATCAGCCCAACCATTGAGTCATTTGGTTTCTGGGAGGTTCTATGGGCTGTCGGCGTCACCAATTTCATAATAAAGTTCCTCTCCATGGGGATTAAGTGCCTTATTCTGCTGATGCCATCTTCGCTGGTGACCTACAGAACCCAGGTGTGAGCGGTGGATTTCTTCTTTGGATTGTTGGTTTTAAAAAAAAAAGCATGGCAGTGCCGGTTCAGTAGTTCTTATTTTGTGTGTTTATCCCTTCAGGGGCGGTGGCTGATGCTGACTGAGGAGCTGAGTCAGGTCCACCAGACCATGGCTCCTGTTCCACTGTGGTTCCGCTACCTGGTCACATACCAGGAGGCTGACGGCACCCCTGGCCTCACGTTAGGGGTCCTGCTGGCTTTGCTCTACCTCATACTGAAGGTGCGATCAGCCAAACTAACCCGCATTTTGTTGTATTAATATTGAGTGGGGGAAAAAAAACAGGTGGAAGTCTTTTTATTTTATGACTTTGTTGTTCTCTCTTTCAGCTTTTAGGATTGTATGCACAGTGGACACCTTTACTGAAAACTGTGAGAATATTTCTAAAGGGCGAGGTCAGTGGTAAACAGCTTTGTTGTTAAATAGTAAATGTTCCGAATCAATTACCAGATGTGTTGAGGTGTTTGTTTTTTCTCAGCATACAGGCACAGCAGCCAGTAGGAGTCAGTGCAGCGAGGCTGGAGACGTGTGCCCCATCTGTCAGGGAGAGTACAGGGAGCCTCGGGCTCTACTCTGTCAGGTAAACGTACTATTGAGAGGTAGTTGGTTGTATTTTTAATTCAAGTTATTATATATAGAGCAAGATTAGTTCAGAGGGAGAACTGGAATCATATCAGTTGTGTAGATCTAATCATGTATGGGATGTGCTGACATGCTGTTGCTTTTCTGCTGTGCAGCACATATTCTGTGATGAATGCATCGCCCTGTGGTTTAACCGAGAGAAGAGCTGCCCTCTCTGCCGCACTGTGATCACAGAGAAGGTCTACAAATGGAGGGATGGAGCCACATCTCCACACCTGCAGATTTATTGATTTATAAGGCACAGGCGGGGAGCTTTTGGGTGTAAAGATTTGGTATTGGGTTTGTATTTAATGTGATTATTCTATGGCTGTCAAACTCCACTGACAAGTAATGTTGTACACTGTTTCATAAATCAGCTTAGTGCTGTGCCTCCTGCTGGCTGAGGTCAGTAAGGGCACACAACTTGCGCCTGCAGTAGGCATGTTTCTGACTTATTTACCAGTACATCCCTACTTGTGTCTTCAGACAAACATTGATTTTATTCATGCCCCCAAGTGTTTTGTGATGTTTCTATTTTTAAGTTGTTTCCTCATGTGTTGTATTGCTTTTATTCACCTTTTAATCTTAATATCAACCTTCCTTGTGGGGCAGCAAATTGTCCAGTTTGTTTTCCTTGTAAATATGGGAGCATCAGAGAAATATATAGAAAAGTATTTTAAACAGATTTTTCTTACATTATACATTTGAATAAACATGCAACACATGATCCCGTTCTTATCCAGTGTTTTTAAATTTGTAGAAGCAACTTCTCTGATTTGTAACAATAAATGTGGAGAGGTAAGCAGCTGAAGACCTCTGCTCAGGAGAAAAGTGAGACTGGAGGGCTCACAACTAACATACTGCAAAGACTTTTAGGAAGCCCTGTACACCGTAACATCACACGGTGCTGGTATGACCAGAACTTTGCCAGCCTGCAAAGGTCTGCCTACAGGCACTGAGAACGAACTTTTTTTGTGACTATTTTTTTCACAACTGCTGAGAAGGCTGCAACTGAGCTTCTGAGATTGATTTACACAGAAATTATTTTTCTATAGAGGTGACCGCCTCATTTTTTTAAAAACCAAAGACAGGGAGAAATGTCTATTTTATTATGTATGAAAATCATTTCACTGTTATTTTTATCCATTTAGGTCCATAAACTATCTGAATAAAGATCTACATTTGAATGATGTTTGTGACTCGTTTTATGTAGCAAAATGAGAATCACTTGTCAGACTCTAGTGTAGAGGCTTAGTAGAGCCTGCTTTGTTTTAAGAGATGAAATGAAAACGTCACAACAGATGACCTACTGGCGTAAACAGTGGCTTATGTTTCTGGCTTGTCCGTACAGCCCATTCTCGTCAACACCCTCGAGGAAATATCTTCAAATTTGGCACAAACATCCACTTGGACTTGAGGATGAAGTGACTAGATATTCGTGGTCTAAGGTCAAGGTCACTGCTGTCAAAAGACATTTTTTTGGCCGTAATTCAAGAATTGATGAACATATTTCACAGTTGGTCAGACAATGAACTGGTGACACCTTTGACTCAAAGGTCACTTCAAAATGACGGACAAACATTTTTGGCCATAACTCAAGAATTGATTCAGTAATTATACAACTCCACACAGATGTTTAATGGGATATGACATTTTTTAACTCAAAGGTCAGCTTCACTCACATGAAAATGTCATGGAAACACACTTGGCCGTTATTCACCACCATAACTCATGATTAGGAGATTGTGACTCCAAAGGTCAAAGGTCATTGTGACCTGAAAACGGGTTTATAGCCAAGAATGAACAGGGTGACTCAGATTTCAAGTTGACAGGGACGACACAATGAGTAAATAATAACTAGCGCAGTACAGGCTTTCTGCCATATTCTCTATTCTGCCTTTTTGATTTCTGCCTCATTCAGATTTCCGAAGCGCGCCTAGCTAATTGTAATCCTGTGACCGAGTTTCACCTACAGCTTATATAGGGTGCTTCGCATCTAAAAATGCCAGGAGAAAACAAAAGCACCACATTTTGTGTTGCTAAGAATCCATCTTTACATAGTAATCAAGTACATGTGTACCTGTTTGGCCAATACATCTATGATAATCCTTCAATCATCAGTTCAACAGTGTATATTCACTGAGGTCATACGCATGTAACATCAATATAGTGATAACTTCCATTTAGCAAAACCTAAATTCCCTGTACTTTCCAAGTATTCACTACATACATTATGAGTCTCGACAGAGATTGCCGTAAACTGCACCTTGACTGGTTGGTGGAGGCATACAACCTTTGGCTGGTAATTCTAGTTTATTTTGACTTCATTATGTACATGATACATATAAACATTCCCCATCTGAAGGGCAGATCTAGGGGTGACAAAGCAAGACCAGTAATGTTTTTCAATGCCCTTGAGAGATGTAACAGGAACAGAATCTTACAGATTAATCCCAGCACACATTAACAATAAACAGTATACTGTACATAGAAACTGTACTCTGTCAACAAAGGCACAATGCCAATCCATTGGTTTTTGCATCTGTCCCCCCCAATAACTGCCCTTGCTTTTAGCACTGCAAAAAATACAAACTGAAATTCAAGTAAAGTCTAAGATATCAAAATGTCATCTGAAAAATCAACCTTGAATAGGATACTCTGCCCCACAATAAATACTGATAGACCATTTGGTCACTGTCCTCAATTTTGGAAAAAAGAAAAAAAAAAAGAAAAGAAAACTGCATCCGAGGTTGCTGTAACACATTCTGCAGAAATAAAATCATATTGTACATGCTTATTATTATTATGACAAATAAGTGTCTGTCAGGAATGCCAAAAGAAATTATCACACATTCTGCTGCCTTATCTAAATATTACCACATAATAAATAGTTTGCATAGTGTGAACAATGGAGTGAAAACACAATGGCACTTGAAATTAATATTGTAACAAATCAAAAAAAGAAAGTAAGTGAGTAAAAGTTAAGTTACTGAAAAAACAAAACCCAAAATCCATCAGCTCAGCCCGACATGGTCCTTGTTAATCATTAAAAATGCAAGCAACAATGTGGTCAGTGTGATCAAATACGACGTTACGAACAAAACATATTTGACGGATGAACCCTGTAGTAAAAAACCAGCAACAGCAGCAGTTAACCTGCAAAAATCATTTGGTTCATTAAAACAGTACTTTTGGTCAATTTGCTAAACACACAAGTATTTGGATAAAAAGAAACCCAAAACAACGGGAAGCCATTCAAACCTAAGCTCAGTTTCATTCATTCAATTTTCTGTTGGCATCATGGGAATCCGCGTCCGACGGCGTGGTCAGTTTCACGGTGAGAAGTTTCGGATGGCTCGGCTCCAGAGGCTCATATAGCAGCTTCACATCACACAAAGAGGTTATACATCTCAGTTCAAACAGAGTTAGCAGATGGTCCACCCAAATAAGTCTTGGTTTAAATTCCTACCACTAAGAGCCCTGTTACTGTAAATGCACATACAGCATATGCAAAGCACCCAAGCACATAACACATGAACGCTGCCTGAATCAATAAACGGCAGTCATGTCATTTTTGGCTGAGCTTATTTTGAGTCAACGTGTTTGTTATGACGGTGGCAATGAGGCGGCATGAATAGATGAGTTAAAAATAATGCTGCAGGGGTCATCGGAGCTACGCGCAGGACAGTGACACACACAAAAAAGGCATTTAGAGTCTGTTTACATTCAACACAAAAGGAACTGAACAGTGCTTCTGGACAGGCTTCCTACAGAAAGCATTCCAGTCGGACTAGTAAAGCAGTGCCAGCATTTGGTATTGATTGTGGTGGAAGTGATGCTTTCAGCTGAAATTTCACTTCTCTTTTTATAGCTGCTTTTCCGTAGCCCATGCTCCAGTAACAAAGGCAATGTGAATGTTTCCTCAAACATGAAGGAATACTGTGTTCATTGTGGAAATGTTATCCGATAATTCTACCTACTGACAGTGTAACTTGCAAGGTCTTATCGCAAGATGATCATTAAATAAACAAAAAAAAAAATGCCTGCCTTATTGAGGGAGAAATAAATTCCCTTTGTTACATATTCTCCCACTGTGATGGAACAACCGGTCCAGACTTGAGGATAAAAGAGCACCAGTAAATCGTATGATAATGCCAGTTGAGTACACCAAAACCACCTCAGCTCACTCATCAGCTGGCATTACAGAGCCGACAAGCAAGTCTGTTTTCATTGAAAAGCACCTCTCTCACGCCACACCACATATTTACTGTACTTAAACCGCTGATTATCTGCATCAGGCTGAGGAAGTCAGGCGGAGTCAGGAGGATTTGGGAGGCCAAGAAAAGGGAAGGTGCTGCTGAAAGAGCTGGTGATCGGCATTGACGGCGTCAATTCAATTTTAAAAAATAATCCTACAAGTCTCTCTGAAAGAAAACAATAAACAGGGAAGAGAGGGAGGGAGATTCCTAATGTTCGTGTGCGAGCCGGGCGTCATAGGTTCATTCGTAGATGTTCGGGCCGCTTGGAGTTCATGGGGTAGGCCTGCTTTTTGTAGGGCCCAGCATTAATGCCTGAGGGGTGCCTGATGGGAAGTGGCGCAGAGGCTTCAGAGTTGCCACTACTGCTTGTGTCCATTTGCTCCACTGTCGATACCTCCATGGGTTGCAGGGAAGGGCTGCCAGTCAGCATGGGTCCCCGGGGCCAGCAGTCCCCTCCTACAAACTTTAGTGGACTGTGGAGAAAGGAAATGTAAGAAACTAAGATCATTGCCCTGAGATATTGTGTGTGATGACCAGCTCTATTTACAACGTAACAGAGGCATAGTCATGTGTTACACAACTACTGTATAAAGCATATGGAGTCTAATGTCAAATTACTCTAAATAGACCAGTGGCAATGCTGCTGGGTTTAATGGAGGAATGATTTTATTGTTCAAATAGTTTGCAGATATCCACAAGTCATCAATTTCCTTCATTTGCCTGACAAGCACATTTTCCCCTTTTATTTCAAATTCCTCTAAATTTACACAGCTGATCCCTACTCATAATGAACAATTATTTTTGAGTCCTCAGATAATTCCTGTTGTGCCTTTGGAGAAGAACTGTTATTTACCCTTCTAATGATGGCTTTATTTAGGTTAAGCCGGCTACATTTACAAGGTCAGCAAATGAGTAATCAATGGGAAAGACTTGCCGTGGGGGGAAAAAAAAATTAAAGAAGAAATCAATGAAATTCAGTGGAACCAAAGATAAACACAACTCTGTTACCTCACAGGTGTTCTTGGGCTACCGGGGAACTTCCGTGGTGAGCGGACCTTTGGCTCGAACGAGAACTTCTCTTTGACGTTTTCGAGCACAGATGGGGCTACATATGTGAAACCCTGGGGAAGGGGTGGGGGACAAAAAAAACACAGAGAAAGATCTGAGTCCACCTCTTGAAAGACCATCTTTCCAAAAACAACCCACAGCTGATGATGAGCAATGAAACACTGAGTAAACCATATCATGCAATGTGGTGGAACAGTGAGTGAAGCTTCCAGGAAAACCAGCAGGACTAAACCAGATGGGACGCATTAACCGATTCTCGTAAGACCTACTTGTTGAAAAGGAAATTAAAAACATTATGTCCAGAGCTGGCCCCACGTTTGTATTTTTTGTTTGCAGACAACACAGGGGCACGAGTAAATGCTGTTAAATGTCATTAAAATTATTACTCAAAATTAATTTTAAATGCAAGTGCTTAAACAGTAAACAAATAATGAGTTACATAACACTTATACCATGTTCAAAGATAAAAAATACTCCACTCCAGGCTGTGGATTACCTTTCTGATAACTGACGTTTCCGCCTCGTCACCTTTCTTACTTCATGAAATACATACATATTACTCTCCCAGGCGTTACTAGGCTTCTCAAGCTTACTACTACTATCTTCTGCTGTGAAATCACATTTACTCCAAGAGAGTACTTGTCCAAAACAAAATAAACAAGAATTCAACTTCATTAAGTGGATACATTGTGAGCAAAATAATCTATTTTTGGCCTTTGATTGATGAGTTATGCACATTTTTAATCATGGATTACTCCTCGGTTCTGGAAACTCTGTACTCCAACATAGAGGGGAAAAAAGATCCAGTCTGCTGGGAGGTATACGCCACTCATTACCCACCAGGAAGACTTGATTGGCGCTTTCGCTGAGCGTGGAGTCGTCGGGGCTGTCCACCGGCGTCTGGCTGGTGAACTTGGAGTCGAACTGGCTGGCGTCATCAGCCGATTGCTGCCAAAAGAAGCGAGTCAGTTAATCATCATGCAGGGACACGCTCACAGAGGATGTTGCTGCGTGAAAAGGCAAACTCACCAGGGAAGGTTTGAACGGAGGCTCTACTTTGCCAGCGAGGAGGTCGTCCCAATTTATATGCCGGAAGAATGGGTGGGCCTGGAAAATACAGCGGCAGCAACGGGGTTTTTATATTTCATGACAAGAGGCACCTCATCCTCAAGAGTTATTTTATTAGGTCCCAGATCATTATGTCAACACACTACATGCATACGCTTGTGACTAGAATTTCAACAGCCTTATTTACCTGGACCTCAGTGGCATCTCCTGGTCCGGCCCCCAAACGCAATGAGGCATTTCGTTTCAGCAGCTGAAAGAGAAAGCTTGGAGACTCATTTTTCTGCCACTGCTAAATGTTTCAGCAGAGACAACACAACCAGTGAAGCGTGAGGCAAGAGGGAGAAGGCGTTTGCAGCTCACCTTTTTCAGGAGGTCCCTGGCTTCTTGTGTGAGGTAAGGTGGAAGGCTGAGTTTGCATTTCAAGATTTTGTCAATTGTCTTCTTTCGGTTTTCACCAGTAAATGGAGGCTATGAAAAAAAAAGGAGGACAAAAACAATAGTTAGCATGAGTAGCAAATGCTTCAAGCCTGAATTTGCCTGTTTGTGCTGTGATAAACAGTTTTACTTTCTTTAGCAATGCTACTATGGGATCAAATGGTGTGCACTTACTGCTCCTGTCAGCATGTCGTACATGAGAGCTCCCAAACTCCACCAGTCCACTGCTCGGTTGTGTCCACTCCTCATTAGGATCTCTGGAGCCCTGAGGAAGGAGCAGATACACTACCTGTGTAAGAAGTAGGAAATGTGGCTGAATGCGCAGACTTCTACACAACTCAAATCTGAACTAATCTACAGAATGTGCATGATGACTGTTTCACGTACATATATTCGATAGTGCCACAGAAGGTGTGGGTGACCGTTCCGTCATGGATGGACTCTTTGCATAGGCCGAAGTCTGTCAACTTCACATGTCCTAGAAGCAGACAAGAGCATGAGAGAAATTACCCTCCAATAGAGTATCAGATTATCCAGAGACAGAATCCAATGGGGGAACAAAATATTTTATGTGGAAAGGACATCGCTAGGTGCAAGTTTGTCTAATGTGCTCTCTAGGGCTGCACGATTTGGGGAAAAAGTCCTATTGTGATTATTACAGACAATAATGCAATATATTGGAAAAAATGGTATCATGAGTCTACTTGCTTGAGTATTATGGAAAATACACAAAATACTGACATTTTGAAGTGTGTATTTCTCAACATAAACAACCAAAGTTAAACAAGCATTAGAAGAAATACAGTTGTTTTTGTTTTTTTTCGCCACCAGCTTTTGCCACATTGTGAACAGATTTTTAAAACACAGAAAACTCTACTGTGATTGGTGCATTGTGGCTTATGGTGTGTCAGACTTTTTGAACCAGGGATGGATACATGATACATCAACAGCACCAACACAACCCATGCAACACTTCATGTAAACAAGATTACTGAACAACATTTATAACTATAACTTTAGTAAAACAGAACAAGGAGCGAGGCAGCTAGAAGGAGCGCATACTGGCACAATCCTAGCTCTGGCTAAATATACATCTGTACGGTAGGTTGTAGTCCTGCTCATAAATAATTTTTCTGCTTCGCAAATATCTGTTTTTAGGGGCATATGTGAGTGAAATGGCCGCTCTGCAAAGTCCTGTGTGGGCGTGGACAATGAGCAGACCGCAGTGCACACAGAGACTAAAGTGTCACATGCACAGCACACTTTTTTGTTTAATTCAATGGCACCCTTTTACAGTTATGTTATCACACATGATGACATCGCGATTGTAATGTGATCAGATTAATTGTGCATGGGTGGCAATGGCACAGTGAATAAGACATGCCTTTGGTGTGGGAGATCCGGGTTCAACACTTAGCCCCTAGCTGCTCCAGAGGCTGTACCTCTGATACAGCATTGTAAGTCATTTGGATAAAAGCATCAGCTAAATCAGTAAATTTAATACAATGCAGCCCTAGTGCTTTCTGTGAGGGACACTCCAGCTTTCTGTACCGTTGTTGTTCAGCATGATGTTCTCAGGCTTCAGGTCCCTATAGATGATGCCTTTTTGGTGCAGGTGACCCAGTGCCATCGAGATCTCGGCCAGGTAGAAACTGTCAACAGAAAAAATCCAGAACAACCTACATGTTTTACATACCCCACTGCTCCTTAGTGATCTTCAGCTAAGGTGTTCGCTTTAATGTGATATAGGTTATTCTACGAATACTATCCGCCCTTATTTGTTCAGCAGCTTGGTTCGTGTAATCACCGTTTTCATCTACAGACTGTGTTTATGAAACAGAACAGCAGGTATGGCAAGTGTTTGTCCCCGTTCCAAGTGACCCTCACATTGCCTCAGAAACAGTGTCACATGTCTGCCTCTTTTTACAAAGCTGAATGCTCCAGACCTAAAATTCCCTGTTGGACTGTTCTCTAATGCACTTACTGAATATCTGTGTCCTCATCTGCTAAGCTACATTTAAAATAAAAAGTGCTGCTGTCAAAATCCAAGCGGCTGATGCCTGTCTCTTTTGAACCATTTGTTTAATTGCTGGCATCAGTGTGCCAAAGGTAACAGATCACACTGACTTTCAGACATCATCTAGCATCACTGACCCTTCTGTACATCACGAGTCAGCAAAGAAAAACCTCCAAAGACAACACGCAACACTGGGCGTTTGTCACACTGTTGCCATTTGGAAATGTTTTCATGTTGTAAATAATGGGGTTGGACTTTAAAATATGCATACAAACATAGGAGGTGTGAGTGGATGAGGGGATGAAAAGATTTTAAGCATAACATCCTGAAACAGATACTCTTATTTATATTCATTTCTCAGGGGGGAAAAATCCCATTGATCACCTGAAACACTGAATTAGTCAGAGGAAAGCTAAAGACTAATGTTATCTCTGGCCAGGTGGTTAAGACTTTACCGGCGACAGACAAACTAGCTCACCATGCTGTGTCTTCCATGAAGATGCCCTCTCTTTCCAGTTGCATAAACAGTTCCCCACCTGCCGTGAGCACAAATCAGTCAAATGTATTCACGGTAGAGATTGAGACCCACATTTTCACCAATGTCCTATGCTCATTAAATGTGGATAGAAGGTCAAAGAACACTTACAACAGTTAAGTAAATAATATAATTAAGTATCATTGTGCTCACCGCTCAGATACTCCAGGATGAGGTACAACTTTCCCCCGGTCTGGAAGGCATAGATGAGATCCACAATGAAAGGATGCTTCACCTCCTCCAAGATGTTCCTCTCAGCTTTGGTGTGCGCCGTGTCCTTTGCATTACGCACAATCATGGCCTGACAGGGGACAGAAAAAGCACACAGAGTCGGGGGGGTGTGAAACTATTCAGACAATAACTTTAACCCCACGTTAGCTAGTGTCAAAGCTTCGACATCAGCTGCAGAGCACAAATCAGGACCCCAGTATGGTGGCTACAGTCAAGTCTCATTAAGCCAATAAACACAGTCATTAACCAAAACCTCAAGCTTCAGGGAGCAAGAGCTGGCTTTTCGAGCAAAGTCAGGCACCAGCTCTGCGTCAGCTGCAGAGAGGAGGCCAAACAGAACAGAAGCAGCACATGTGAGGTTTCATGGGAAAAAAAGCCTGCTGTCATTATTTTGGGTGGTCTGCCCTTAGCTTCTGGCTTCATAGCTGAATGCACCAGTATGTCACCAGAAAAGGCCCATAGTGACACACAGTGTATATGAAACAAGATACACTGTTAAGCTGCATTGGGCTTTTGAGTCAGCAGAGTATTTAAGGTGCTAATTCCCCATAGAGGTAGGTTACTTGGGTTCGCTTACATATGGATTCGATAATACACATGCTATTGCTCCCGCACTACACTACACCATTCTGGATTTACACTAGGGGGCAGTAAAACACCCCTTTAATAGTTGATTGGAGAACAGATTGAGCAGAACTGAGTTACTCTCTTATACCATTGAGATAATTCTCACCGAATAATATTAAAACCATCAGCCAAACGTGAGGAAGACAGATTCACTCACCTTCTTCAAAACTTTCATAGCAAATATCTTCCCAGAGGTGGCACCGGATACCTTCCGGACTTGAAACACCTGGGAAAATTGACATAATATTAAGTAAAATCCACGCAGCACATTAATACCACACACAATGCATTGTAATAGCCGTTTCCCAGTCATATTAGTGAGAGTATAAAAGTATGATGAAAACATTGTTTTTCATGCAAGCATTGACAAACAAACAAAAAATAAAAAATTCAGATTGAACAGCCCCCTGAAGCCACAATTCATTGTTGCAACATTCCTACTTTTGGTTAATAGGTAGCTAACTTCTTCAGACAGCAGCGGGATGCAAAAACAGTTGATCACTACCAACGACAGGTAAGATAAAATATTCAAGTGACTTTTGTAAATACAATTTAAGATACCTAGATACCTTCTAAGGCTTTTAGATATTTTGACTTTGTAGGCTTTTCAAGACCTGCAGAAAATCATTACCATTCCTTTGGCTGTGTAGACCAATTATTTATGTCTCAACTACTTATTGAAAAAATCCACTTGGTCATGTTCTGAACGTTCATTCATTTAGGCATTTCTTAGCATTGTAATGAAGTTCATTGTGTTCATTCAACTAAGCAATGAATTGACAGAGGTCACTGTCTTCATGTATAAAAATGACTGTTATTCTTCTATTATTCTCACTAAACTGCAACCAGCGCCTGCTCTGAGTGTGAACCAAAGTCATATTTTTGACTATTTGAATACTGCATAATTCTTGAAAGACTTATTTTCTCTCCGTTTTACGGCCAAGAAACTTCAAAGCTGTGCCAAAATATAGACAGTAACTACATAAGAATACCAAAACAAATGACAGCGTTTTAAAAAAAATCATTACTTTGTAATGCTGAGAAATTCCCAAGATGCAGAAAATGACTTCTTAGTCATCGTACACAAAACCACTTCAAGAAAGACTAAGTCATGCATCTGCTTGCTAAGTGAAGTGTTTCCAAAATAAGTGATGTGCATATTCATTGTCCGGCTTGGAAAAGACAGCGTCAGAAAATTTCCAGCACTCTATGGGGTTGGCAAGACCAAAATAATGCAACGTTAACACCAAAATAGTTCATGAAAACAGATTTACTAATCTCGGCCTTACTGTTAGATCCAGGACGGTGCTGGTGATGACAGTTCGGCGTTATGTTGATTGCATTTGAGGGTGTAGTAGGATTTTTTTCCCACAACAAAAAAACTGAAATATATCTCTAGGGATTGATAAGGTTTTTGACAAATAATGAACAATAATTACCAGCCACTTTGTTATATACTCCCCCCCCCCCCCCCCCACATAGTGGCAATGTGGTGGCAGGTCCCAAGCTAAAAAAGCTAATGACAAAGTGTATTTCCCACACTTTTCAAAATATTTCTTTCAGGATATTTCAACAACCTGGGGTCTATTTTTTTGACACTGAATCAAATCCTCTGTGTACCATGAAAGGGTCACATACCGTGCCCATTGAGAACTAAAGACATAACTAGACAGCTCTGCACAACTGTTCATTGCTTTAATTTCCTACCCTCTAAATCCAAATTTCTAGTCGTGCCTGTAGTGACTGTAGGACTTGAATTTATATTTCCATGGCAGAGAATCACAGTCCTCACCTTTCCATAGCCACCTTTTCCCAAAACCTTCAGCAGCTCAAAGCATTCAGGCCTGATCTGCTCTGCTCCTTTGTTCACGCTGTTCTCTGAAATTTCAAACTTCTCACAGTCATCCATGTTACTGGCAAAACAAAAAATAAAAAGAATATAAGAAAACAAAGACAATAAATCACATTCAGCACATTCACTTAACATTGTGTTAACAGTTTCCAAGACCATTATCAACGACAGTTACAATCGTTTGGGCCTAAATATAAACATGGCTAAGGGTTCAACTGAGACTGATGTTGGTACACCACTTTTGTTCTTAGCAACAAACAGCTGACTGAGAGAGATGGGTGTGCATTGCTTAAGTGGTTCCCAATGGTTTTCATACAAAGGCCCCTCAAACAGATTCACATTAGTGCAGTGATTCCCAATTATGATTATTCCTGTTTTAAGAGACCCTGTAAGCATTACTGGGTTCATGTGGACAGGTGACAAATTTAAGGAAAAACACGTATAAAATGTGTGGAGAAAAATCACAAATGCAGTTGCTTCCCGGCAGGGAAAGAGGGGTGAATGGATGGTTTCATGAAAGTGATATACATTATGGGTTATGGTTTTCACAGTCTACTGAAAACCTCTGGGAGACCTTAGACCACAATGTCAGACAGTACTCTCCAAATTTATATTTTTGGAAGAAGGTTAAGTAAGGTTGTGCAATAAAACAATAATGATAATTATCACAATATAATCTTCCTCAATAATAACATAAAAAACGTTCAATAAAAGTTTTTATTTATTTCATTTGAAACACGAACAAGAATTTATTTTTCCTATTAAGATATTAATTTTGTTGAGGAAAAGGGAGTGGAAAAACTATTGTTTATTTTACTCACGCATATTTGCTGAAAAAAGATTTTATCATAATTGTTTTGAATGTTCTACCTCAGATTTATGAAGTGATCCCAGTGTTTGTTCTGACCATAAAGAAAACCATCTGGTTTCTTCAATTTTCACTCAGCAGCAAAAATCTGCCTTTAAACTTGAAAGAAATAATGATTTGACATTTATTGTGATAGTTATTGATATTAACCAATATAAAAAATCTTATCTTGATAACATTTTTGGCCAAATCATCCAGCCCTGTAGTTAAACTGACTTAAATTTGGTTAGTACTTATACTGTAGCTACATGATTTTAATAATAAAAAAATAACTATCTACCACAAAATCAAATCACTTTTAAAAGTTATTTACAACTCCATCTAAATAAAAACATATGAATGCGTTACTCCTTTTGGTCCCAGTGAATTACCATTTTTCTTATACTCACAAATCATAGCCACTGCACTGGTCCATGTTTTCACTGAACTGGCCCTGAAAAAAAGAGGAATAAGACAGAAAATCTCAAGTTATTTCCATCCCAGCTCAGCTTGTTTGTGGATGTACATTGTTTTAGTGTTAAGGAGTTATTACCCAGCAAAATGTTCAAGCCTAGTTAATTCGCTTTAAATTACGGCGAACTAAGTTACCTATTACCAAGCTTAGTTGAATAGTCTGTGTTTTTAACTTATAGCTAACCTTAAACCAAAGACCAATGTAACGTTAGTATCTGATAACTACTGTAAGTTACTAAAGCTAGCAAAGTGTGGTCCTTAGCGTTAGCAGCATTTCAGCCTGTTGTTGGTCTGCTTTATTGTTGAGTTCACTTATATCCCGTAACGTTGTCAAACCATATGTGGCATTCACGTAACAAGTTACACGGTAACTACACGTTACATCCCGATGGCAGACGATGCTGAGCGTAAAACCGCTTAATCTGTAACGCCATTATCGGACATGGAGTTACGCCCGGTGAGGTGGATAGGCAAGGTATTTATCGTTTGTATGCGCCTTTCGTTTCCTGGCGCCGTTTTCAAGTTGTTTGCAAACGGTGGTGTTTGTTGCCACAGTCTTTTCATCGAAGACTAAAGCTTAACGTTAAGGTTATACGCGCCTGACCAAGTGGTCACCTTAACTTAAGCAGGTGTTACACCAAAATCTGTGACTCACATTCTATAACCCAAAAGGAAAATCAAGCCCTCGGGGGTTTCTAACCATGTTTTTTTTTTTTTTTTACACGCGTTTGACGTTGTGAAATGCAAGCAGTTTGGTTAGGGTTTGGCACCAACACTAAGTTACTTGTTTAGTTTCAGGGGGGAAACATGGATTGTGTTTGGTCACAGAATCTAAAGGGTCAAAAAACACTGGGAAACACCAACCTGTCCGCCGGCAACACTTAAAGATGCTTGTCTCGTGACGGTGATGAAACTGAAATTGTTCTCGGCTATCAATACAAATTCAGAAAATAAACTGGAAATGCCTTTAAATTCAATGTAGCGGGCGTCTTGTGTGGCACTACCATATTCGCGGGAAATAGGTGGACGAGGACATGTCCGATAATGGATACCCCGACCACTAATATTAACAGCGTAGGCCCTCGAAGCTGCTAAGTGCTAGCCAACGGGCTAACAGCGGCGGTATTAGCTTCGACGCTAACGTAAACTCACCCCGTCCTCAAGTTCGTCGTCAGAGACATTCTCATCCGGTTGATCCAAATCGATGTCGAAAACCCCGGCCATGGCCACGGCACTTAGTCGGTGTTCAGTCAGAAAACACCGTCTAGCTCCCCCGCCTCATAGGAGAGCCATCACCGTTACCGCCGGCTACAGCAGAAAGCATGGGTTAACATCAGCTAACCAAAACAACACAAGGACCTAGCAGCAGAAAAAGCCTCTAGTGTCGGCCGCCGGCACTACTCTGCTCAGGTTGGCGTGGAGACATAAAAATATATTAGTACAGAACGGAAACTTGCAATAACAGCAGAAGAAGGAGTGCAAATTTAAAGTGCATTCTCATGCGATAAAATTGGGCGAGATGCCCGTAAATATTCTAAATTAACAAAAAAAAAAAAACTACTTATCCTAACTCAAAAACAAAACAGATAGCCTAAGTGTATAAAGTCATAGTGTACTATATTGGATTGATTAATTTTTAAATATATTGTAACAATATACCATCACTGTAGTTTTCTTCAGTAAATGCAAGCAATATCTTACAAAAACGACTCAAAATCTTAAATTATGGTTTTTGGTACAAGACAAAGCCTTAAAACTAAATCTAATAATTCAACTATAATTTGTAATTACTGTACTTTTCTGCATAGAGTAGATAAAGTTATATAGCTGGGTTAATGACTTGACTCTGAACTACAAATCTTACACTGATCACATTGTCCACAAAATTAATTTTGGAGGCAGTGTTTTATTTTGATCTAGAAACTGTTTCACGCTTAGTGTTTGAAAGAAACTTGCCACACAGTTTATATTACCTTTTTTTGTTGGACTATTTCGATGTTGTTTATCAATCTGCAACTCATTTGTGTAGGTTTCAACTATCCTCATTACCTACAACAGTTTTTGGTACCATATTCCTCAATATATAACGTTAATATAGCCCTGTATCCTTTTTTAAATTTTTTATTTAACCTTTATTTAACCGGGGGACCCATTGAGATAAAATCTCTTTTTCTCTACTTTTTCCTACATGGTTCCAACGCTTCCCAGAAATATGAGGAATCACTTAATATCCTAATTATTGTATTTAGAGCAGCAGGATGTGAGAATGTGTAAGGTAAGTCTGTCTTCTCCTACCAGAGGTATCAATTGCTTCCTCTGATTTCCTCCACCCACATTATAAAAAGTCATAATCTGATCATCTGAATGGGGTGAAACGTGGTTATTAGTCTAACATGGTTTGGTGTTCTGCGGAACTTTAAAGTTCCTCTTGTTTGCTTACATTTTTGTTCCCAGAAAATGAAAAGGTTAGTTCCCTCTCATGCTCTCCATGTTGAAACCTATTTATATGGAAAGCCCAGCATGTCCCAGATCATCAGTTGAATTTAATTAGCTTATATATTTCTTTGTTGCTCCCTGTATCTCGTTCATGTTTTTTTTCCTGTTGGTAAAGTTAGTTTAGACCATAGCCAAAGTTATTCAGTCACACAAAACAACACACATGTACAACAGTAGCAAAAACGGAACTTCAGGTTTATTCAGATTAATTGGTCAACTGACAGGAAATGAGAGGATCAGCATCAGATTGAGTAAATTTTAACAAATATTTCAAATGTGAACATTTGTTGCTTTTCTTTGTCATGTGTGATAGTAAACTTAATACATTTGGGTTTTGGATTGTTGTTTGCTCCAAAAAAATATAGACCATATGACGATGCTTGACTGATAATGAAAATGATTGTAAGTTTCATTATAATAATAATAATAATAATCTTTATTTGTAGAGCACTTTTCAAAAACAAGTTACAAAGTGCTTTAACAAGTGTAAAGACAATAATACAAAATGCAATACAAGATGAAAGCAAGAAAACATTGAAAAGACTAAAATACACGTTTAAGACAAATATAAAATAAGTAATGTAGAATAAAATAAAAGGGATAAAATAACGTCAAATAAGATCGGGAAAGTCTCTCCTATAAAAGTATGTTTTCAGAAAGGACTTAAAAGAGTTCAGCCGACCTGATTCAGTTTATAGTGTATAGTGTACAGTTCAGTGTTGGTACAAGGATAGTTGTGATCTGGTGTCATATCAGTTGTGGATAACAAGGCCTTGTAAATAAAGACAGATATGCAGCTGGTTACTAAATGAAACGCTGTATCAGACATATAATATGTTAATGAAATAATACAATACAATACAATAATGAAATATATTAATGTAGATTTAGCAAGATTTTATTTATATACATATATATAATTTATATTTGGCCACATTGGTTTGACCAGGGTTTATTTTATTTTTTTACTTATATCATGCTGGACAACCAGCTGCATTGATAGGCTGCTCAGAGGAGGCTTATCAGGCCTTTTCATTGCTCACTGTCTTACTCTGATGGCATATTGGGACACTTGAATACAACAGAGCCATCATTAATGTTAATCTTTCCTACAGGGCCTAGTCAAAATGATGCATGTGAGAAAAAGTAGAAACTGTAACAGGTTAAGTTGCTGGCTGTAGTAGGTTCCACACAGCCATAATGAGATTAAAGTTAAAGTAGTAATTCACCGCACGGTCTGTCTACATCCCTCTTTTCCTACCAGTAGGTGGCAGCAAGAAAAAGGGAATTCTTTTCAGGGTGTGAAATGCCACTTTTCATTCATCCCAATATCTGCCTGTATAGCTGCACTTCATTGAAGCACATTGGTTCAATTCAAACTCCTGACAAAATGCCAATACCTCATTAAAAGTGTATGTATTTTATTCTAGAAAGGCTTGTGACTCCCCCTGGTGGTTCAAAACTTCATCTAGATGTAGATTTTTACCTCAACTATTGGCAATAATTATACAAGACAATAAATGCAGCATCAAAGGATAATAAGAATTCAATAAAAATACCAGATTACGGAGGAATGTGCATGATGACTGATTATTTTATCTCACAGAGACAGCATCAATGTCTGATGCTGGACAATGTAACTGATCTTAGAGAGCTACAACAGACTGACATTTTCTTATCTTTAGATATTGTATTGGGCACACTGTGACCACTTTGTTGACAATACATCGAGGGTAGTCTCCACGATTCCTTGTGATCTTTGTGCTACCTGTAGAAAGAAGCAGAGTGAGAGCTTTGTTGCTGTTTCCTTGCACCGTCCAAGCTCAGATTCAGATTTTTATCCCTTGTTGTGAGAAATGTCAAACTGCAGCTTACAAAAATGGTGGAAAGAGTCTGGATCAAGAGATTCAAATACAAACATGAATGCAATATTCTTTGTAGCCTGTATTACTGGATAGAAAACAAAGTAAAATTGGAAAGTGATATAAACAGTTAGCAGTTAATTTTGTCTTATTATTTAGGACATCTTGGATAGCTAATGACTTTAGAGTGCCATAAAAATATAAAGGGGTTAATTTTCAAAGAAAGAAAATGTGTTTTTATTTGTTAAAGTATAGAAACATGCCTTGTATCTTTACTTTTCATAGTTTGTATTAAACTAGTTATACTGTAATGCATAGACATTTAGATTTAGACTTTTCAAATATTTTGAAAGTTGAAAACATTTTAATTTCAATGATTGAATTTTACTTTTTACAGAGGCACTTTTGAAAAGCTTTTTTTTTTTTTAAGTGTTTATCCAGTTTAAGGCATTACAGCTCAGAACTGCAACTACATTTCTTAATATCAGAAACACTTTAATCCCTTTCCATCTAGTAAAAAAATTTTATTAACATTTTCAAAGATCATCTCCAGGCATATTTTAAGACATATAAAAATACTCTACCTTGACTAATAACATATAATCCTGCTCCTACATCTAAGTATTAAACTGAGATTTAAGGTGAGCACAGAGAGACCCCCCCCCCTTCAAGAATGTGAAAACTGTACATACATCACTCTGCACAGTGAAGGTAAAACATCCAAGTGACGTAACAAAAAGCAAAATGCATATCTGAGTGGAGGAGGACTTTCAAAAGTGAATTCGATACAGATAGGACACACTGTTAAATAACAGCAGATGACTTGCTGTGACAGCACAGCAGTGAAACTCCAAATACCATGAAACACGACATCTGTAAGATTTTTTAAAATGACATGAAAAAAATAGTTCCCCTGTTGAGGCAAGCAAACGGTGGTTGTTTTCAGAGCCTAAGGGTATGGCATGATTACTCATCATGGTAATCGGGTAAACAGGAAAGCCTTTTGGAAGTGTGTATCAAATAAATGTAATCTTCAGCAATCCCTTTCCTGGTGCTTTCCTTCAGCTCAGCTGATGTAAAAGCAGTCAGCAGGGCGTCCCAGCTGCAGCACCACATACTGTAAGTATTAATGAGAGTTTTTGAGAGGGGGCGGGGGGTGTCCTTGAACACTTAAACCATATCTGATCTTCACCATATTTAGGTAAAAGTGACTATATAGGTGAAATTCCCAGCAGGTCCTCAGTCTAGGACCTGGAAGGTCGATCTTTACCACAGCTTCTTTTATTGTGAGGGGTTTGCCTGAATTCTCTCTCAGGAGGCTCAGGAAGGGCCCCCTGTAGGGCAGCGTTACTTTGAGCGCTGCCTCAATTCCATCTGATAGTTTGTTTTACTTTGATTGCCCGGTAATCACAACCAGCTGCAGTGGGTAACAAAATATGTTTTCTGTGTGTGTTCCCTGTTTTGTTTAGCTTTGTTTATGTTTACAAAAGAACAGACGAGACACTGCTAGAAAGTCGCAGAGCTCTGTTGTGGCTCTGTGTGATGACTTGAGGTTGGTATTGTGTTCATTCAAAATCACTTTGCATATCAACTGCCTGCGCTGCGTTCTCATGTTTGGACTTTGTGAATATGGAAGGCCATTCATTTAAAACGGAGGGGGAAAGCTGTCAGCATCTTGACCTGATTCTTTTTCCTTGACCGCATACGCCTGGTGTTTACTGCAGGACAAAGACTTGTGGAGTGTTCTTCTCAAGTCAGATCGTAATCTGAATGTTTTATTTTGTGCACAATAAATACCAATAACGTGAGAAAACAGTTCCATATCTATTTTTATGATGCTCAATTGCCTTATAAATACTACTAAACTGTTCAGATGGCAGGTGTTCTTCTTCAACTGTACAGCAGCCTGTAATTGACACACACTTTTACAATATATGAGTAAGCTATCAGATCAGAGCTGAGGTCCAACAGCAACATCTTGTGAAAAGGCGACAGCAAAATTTACTGCAACACAGTGGAGGAGGTGAGGGAGTTTATTTTCC